AGTATAAAGCCGATCATTTCTAGAGTAATACAATAGCTAATAGCCTCCAGTATATTGTTGACTGCTTATATACTTATATATTTGATTATAATTTATAAAGAAAGTCAGAATATGACGGCGTGTTTGCACGACGCCACCAGAGGGCGCTGTTATACAGAAGAAGTTTTAGGCTTTGTAGGACATTATAATGTCTCTAGTTTAATATAAAACTCAAATTTGTTCATCTTAAATTTCATCATATTCTTAGTGCAAACATTGCTTTGTATTGTGTTTAAATTTGTCTTTGTGCCTGTTGCTGCTCGGTGGGGCACTTCAGAGCTGGCGCACTTGCCGTGTTCTGGACTAACAAACCATTATGCGCATGCGCGTGTTTTGACGCACAGGATGCATTGTTCAACGTGAACTTTGAGGGCCCTTTGAGGAATCCCATTGGTTGCTTCTTAATGGTGCAAGAGCCTACACGGCTTGTTAGCTAATGAGGAGCTGATGTTGTAATTAGTCAACGTTACAATAGTCGTGTGGATTTTGTCATTTTTAGATACATATTTGAGACAGTGTGCGAGGGAGACTCCAGGTTTAGGAACCATTTGCTCAGCATGCTCCAACCCTATTTTAAGGGCACCTCGGCCGTTACTCAAAACGAACTTTTGGATTGAATGTAAAGTTACATTGTTTACAAGAATGAGGTTGCTCAACAGCTGGTAAATGCACCCTTGTGGATGTGTCCTGTAAGTCATAAATGCTCATAGTACTGCACTGTATGGTTGTTAGAAAAATTCACTCGAGGCTGATGTAAAAATCATTAATCACAAGACGTTTATTCTTGCAAGAAGGAACAGAGTTGAAACACAGAACATGGATCAAGGCTGCTCAGAGGTTTGTCTCTGAGTCTCAGTCATATACACAAGCAGTGTGGTGGTACAGGGTAATTTACGATAAGCTTGTCACACATGGATAACATACACACGTATTGCTTTTCACACAGCGTAATCTTCACAAAACCTGGAACAACACTTTAACAGTTTGTTCTAGGACAAAGGTCATTCTATGAAATCAGGAAGTCTTGGTAGCAAATCAGCTCTGCTCAAGTATTGACATCTGCTACAGCTTTATTGTCTCTTATTTAGGACAAACATCTGCTAGCCCCCAAGAGGAAAGATATCTGAGACGCTTGGTGTCAGAGCAAGCTTCAGACACCAGACATACGAGGACACAGGCCTCGAAAGTTCACATGAGGATATAAGTCTTTGTAAGTCAACATACTTCTTTAGTCATTAGAGTTTCCCAACAATGGTAATAAATGCCACAATGACATCTCTTCAGGTGCTGAACCTATAAAGCTGATAGTGCAAACATATCATGGGGCTGTGTTATGAGTGTAAGTATAGACCTCTTCGTTTACTTCCTGTCAGCTACCAAGGAATATATACATAGGTTCCTTGTCAACTACTGCATAAGCACACCTTGCAACAAGGAATATCATTTATAGGTTCCTTGCATTGCAACAGGAAATACAGACGGGCCCATTAAGAATGTTTATGTTGTCAAGTTTGAAAAGGTCTTGTCTGTGAAGTTCTGACTTGTCAAGAAGCACCGTCCAAGAGCGCATAGGTGACCATCAGCGATGCCTATGGTCTGTCCACTGACATGCAGGAACCAAGTTCATATAAACTCTTGCAGGTTTTTTTTCTGTACAATGTACAGGCGATGGTCACCTTCAAGGAGAATGTAGGGCCTGCCACTCGGCAGGTGGAGGTTCATTAAAAGCGACCATTTGATTGTGGCAACTCTCAGTGAAATAATTTCCAGAGGCCGAACTGGAATGTGCTGTTAAACTATGACCAGTAACGAATAAGGCAAAGCTGAACACAGAGTTGAGCTCCGTCCACCAGCAGAGTGAACTGGGCAAAGGCAACACCGCTGTCTCTCTCTATTGAAATCCATTCATTAAAACAACCTTGTCTGAAACCGTGACACTTGATCAAATCATCATCACAACACCAATGACCAGCGACGAATCAGAGAGACACTTATCCACTCTGAAACAAATGGAGACATTTAGGCCTTCATGGAATACAATGTGTGGTTGAAAGCCCTGACTATGCAATCTATTGAACATGAACTCATCCATGGACTGTTGGATTTTAACAGCAAGGTCACGGAGACGTTTTCACTGATGAAGGACTGCCGCACCTGCTTCCTCTTCAAGAAGCACACATCGGTGAGTCAAAATGTCTTTATTATTTGGAATATGTTGCGTGTATTGGCAGTGCGCCGTTCACTGCATGATTGTTACTTTGCCTTGTTAGTGTCCTCATGTTGGTGCCCTACTTCCTGTCTTGAGCGTTAGGCTATTTGATGTGGACAGTTCTATAACACTGTCCTTTGGTGGTATTATGTTGGTATGGTAGATATGATCTGTATTAGTTGTTGTGATTGTAGATGGCATTGATCTGAGGCCCCCCCCCACCCACCCCCCATGAAATGTAGTTAACCTGGTAGAGCGTGCGTAACATGAGTAGTGCCGCAGCAGTCAGGGTTCGATTCCAGCCCAGGGCTGAATGTCGTCAATCACAGTGTCTCACCTCTCTGCTCAGTTTATTGGTGGGGCGATTATGGTTCAAAGAAATAGATCAATAGTAACCTATATGTCTGGATTGCGTCATCAAATTTTGTTGTATGAATATTGTGTGGCCCGATCAGAATTTTGTATGAAAATCGCCAACCTGAAACCCATTACAAACTGTATTGGCTAAAACATTGAGTCAAATTATTTAAATTGGAACAATGGGCTGCTGTGAGCCCTACATTAAAAATCATACAGATCTAATAGCTCTGAACTACAGTTTTTGGAGCATTTATTACCTATTGATCGTCACTGCTACATTTTGTCACTTGATAAAAACGAATTAAGTCTTACTGATCTGATCTGATTGCCACCTTAAGGAGACACCTATGTGCGTAGATATGTAGATATGTGCGTAGATAGTGTATGTTTAAGAATCAAAATAACTTTATCATCGTGGATTTTCTCTTTACAGTAAACTGAATCCTGTTGTAATAACTCATACTAGCCTGAAGATGGCGGTGGTTGCAAAGTGTGTACATTTAAATTTAGAGGGTTTGCTTCTTATTTTGTTTTTGACTAAAATACAATCAAACAGGAATCACAAAATATAAAATAATCACTCCAATCATTCTACAAAAAGTTAACAAATTATTACTTTACATTTTTTCATGTTGGAATTTATATTATGTAACAACAATTCACTCTCAATCTGAGTTTGCAGCAAGGGATTCTTTTCATGGTATTAAGGAATAGTTTCATTAGATTAACAGTCTTCCTGAAACAAGTTTGCTCAGTTGTGATATGAGTTTGTGGCAAATTAAGTATCTTTATTTCATGTACTTGGTGCTATTAAGGACTAATTGTGAGCATTGTATATTAAGGGGAACGTTTTTTCAGATTAGCAGCAGTTGTGAACTTCTGGGATATTGTATCTTTCCTGGACTGTAAGCACTTCTAAGCACATTTGGTTGACTATCTCGTGAACTAAATATGTGATTCCTTATTATTGTAAAGAAAAGGGCTAATGAAGACAATACATGTAGAAGTGGCATGTGTGAGCGATTGTCATCAAAAACAGACACAAGTGAAGGTGCATTCATTTTCTTTTTTCAAATAATTGGTACAAAAATACCTTTTTTCTCATTGTACAAAAGTCTGTGCAGCAGGAAAAGAACCAAAAATCACGTAAAACACACCAAAAAATAGAGAATCGTCATAAAAGTCTAAACATTTTTATAAAATCAAAACAATTTCAATACTCCAAGATTCCAATATTTTGGTTCAGTACAGTAGTTTGTTACTAAAATGCACTAAACACACTAGCAGAATCTCTGCATTATTATTTACAGGGAAATTAGTGATTATATTACTTAGTATTCACTTTCTTAACATTTTCCCTTCATATCTGATGCAAATACCCATAGAATTGGGACGTTCCCTTTGTAGTGATTGTAAATCAGGCTGAGTAAATCTGGAGGCTTGACATCCTGAAGTCCTTAGTGACAATCACACCATAGAAGACACCACTGTGTCACGACAGAGCAGGAAACAAGGTCCTAACGAATACTGTTGGGATTGATCGTGAACAAAATAAAGAAGTCACTCGACATCGTCAGCAAAGTCCTGAAAACAAACCCCTTCTTGCTGTGAAGCACACAATCTGTGCAATGTTTTCACGAGACTTTCCCCATTGTTACCTCTGAGCTGGACAATCATTTAAAGAGGAACGTGAACTGAGAAGGTCCAGTGTTTCTCTTTAGGATGCATTTGGTCATTATACATCAGCCAAAAGGCATTTCAAGGTTGCACAGATCAGCTGTTGGCCTTGCATAGAAGTGGTTCTCTCTAGCGTTCAGTATGCAGCATTACAGGTTCCTGGAACAGTGTCACACCACATGACATTAAACCTCCCCAATTAAAGAAACAATACTCCTATTAGTCAGCTTACGGCTGCTCTGTGCATTTACACTCACTCCCATATATTCAACAGTGATGCTGCTGAAGATGTACCTTCAAAGAAGAGCGACTGTGCTGTTTAATTAAACTGTGCATAAGTCTGCAGCTTATTACACTGTGCACTCTGCAGATATGTTAAAGTGTGTAGCGACTATGCTGAACATTATCTTGCTCAATGTGCTCTGCTTACTCTGGTTTGTTATTCTATGTAAAGTGAAGCCTGGCAGTATGGGAGCTATTTATCTTATTAGTCCTTTCTGTTCAGCGAGACAGTTTTACGACTGTCAAATGATCAGCGTGGGACACGAAACTAATGTGGGCTCGGGCAATTGAATTTCGGAGCCTTTCTATATTTTTTGATTGACTGCATATGACAAATGTGCTATGATGGACATGTTCCCTATTTCCACTGTACTTGGAATGTATATTTTACAAACGCTTTTTTTCTTTCATTAGAAAGCAAAATAAATTCCACCCTCTAATACAAAACGTGTTGAAGTCCAACACCACTTCAGGTCAAACTTGAGCGAACATCTCAACACCAGCATTTACAGTGAAAATTCACAGGATTTGCAAAATCCGTCTTCATTGGCACAGAAAGGAGAATATGGCCTCTTCAGAACGCGTGTATCTGTACAGGCAAGAAAAGAAAAAAACTTGATAAAAAGGGCCCCTCTAACCGCGCACTAGCTTGCTATGTAACAGGTTCAGGCATTATAAATGTAAAATTAAAAAAGTTTATGAAATGGTTATGTCTGCAGCAAATGTATTGGCCCTTTAGTTTGGACACTTTCTGGCATTTATAGAATAACAATATCAAGTATGCAGACTGGAACAAATATTAACAATTGTATTCAGTCAATATGTAATGCAGAGCTGCACACTTTTACAGCACTACGATTAGCCATCAAGTAACCATGGAGCAGCTTCTGTGAAGTTAAATGTCACACATTGCATCATTGCATCAGTGTGGCAATACTGTTCAGGAGTGAGACAAAGTGCTCTGTGTGCTTCCTATTTGTGTTTTCACAATAAAGGCTTACATTTGTATCAGTAGTCTGAGCTAAGTTAGTTTGAACAGTCTCACCAAGTCACTATCATGTGGCTCTTTGTGTTTCAATGGCTGTCCTCGATCCATCGAGCCGTCTAAACGGTTGTTTGTTTTAGAGTTGAGGTAGCAATAAGAAGGAGAAGAAGAAGAGATTCATGTAGAACGTTGTGCCATCTTTCCTCCTTCAGAAAGGCACAGACATTTGGTATAACCCACACATGTTGTGGTGTGTGCTTAGTGAGAAGAAAGCTAAACAACTCTTTACATGCTCAGGCAACAGAGTGATTCTCTTCCTTCTTCAAATTATCCCCATATGTGAGGTTCAGCAGAGCCAACCTCTGGTCACTGGTCCTTCCTCCATTTGGGTCTGAATCTCCAGGTCTACCCACCAGGCCCAGGCCCAGGTCCTGCTCTGAGCTGCTGGGCTCCGCATCAGGATAAATGACGAGGAAACAGGCCGTAAGGAAGCCGAGGAAGGAGCCTCCAGAGGCCACGGCAGGAATTACACGCACACTGCCGACTGCGTCGACCACAGCTCCAAGGGCCGATGCAACCAGAATCTGGCTGATATAGACCTGGAAATGAAACGGGATTAGAGTGATTGAATATAATAGTACACACTGTGATGACACTCATGCTTTCCACAGACTCTTATCACCACCCCTAGAGTAGAAAGCACCTGAATATTACACACATTTGGAAAAGTACATCATGTTACTTTAGCTCACACCCTAAACCGCTGTGTCTCTGGATCGGTTCGACAAGAATAAGAATGTGCTCGTTTCAAAAGCAAACTCCTACTTGGTTGGAAGCCGCTGGTGATCGGTTTAAGTTTAGAGCTGATGGGGGGGGGGGGGAAAGAGTATGAACGCTCACCTGGCAGGACAAGATAGCGCAGTCAATACCAAAGCCTCTACTAGTGTTTGCTGGACTGTGGTGAATGTACTGAGGAGAGGAACAGTAGAGAAGAGACACATCAATCACATGTGGCACAGAGTCTCAGTGTGTAGGTTTTCATGATGGAGTGTTTAAGGCCTTTAGGTGAAGTTTAAAAACTATCATTATGCTGAGAAAGCTTACAGGCAAGGCTTCATCAAAAAAAAACCTCAAGTGATGAGATACAGAACAAATACAATATTAGTGTACACACACTCAGTGACTGACTGAACTAGTTTAAATGTTGACACATATAAAACATGGATGCTTTTCTTGCATGTGTACTGACTGTTTGAGTACATACCTCTTTGATTTCATGGTACTGGCCGAGTAATGCATAGGGACAGTAGGAGATACTCATGGAGATGATGCCCATGCTACTGATCATCACCATGGCCACATAAACATTAGGGAAGATTGCCATGACAGCAGTTCCTAAGGTTAGAGAGAGACGAAAGCGGTTTTAAATGCATTTTTAATTACATGTCACTTTATTCTGCATACCCATTAAGACCATGTGCAACTGCTCCCAAATCCGCTGTACTTCACCTTATTATTGTTCATTTGACCCAACTGACCTATTGAGAATCCCAGAGTTCCAACAATGTACACAATCTTAATGCTCAGATCAAAATTATCCAGGTACTTCTGAAGGATTGCTGAGTGGAGTGATAGAAAGAGGGCGAAAGAAGACATTTAAATTATTGGAGGCAGCGTTTACTTGTATCACTGACTACTTGTTTTCTCTGTAAACTCAGCAGTTAGGGGATTTAAATTCAAATGTAATGAAACGGAACAGTGTTTGTGTTTTACCAGAGCAGACAGCAGCAGTAGCAGCATAGACCACCAGTCCCCAGCAGCCCATCTGAACTCCTTTGTGATAGTTGAGTAGCTCCGTGGAATTGGCTGGTGCCTGACCAAAAAAAGTGGAGGAATTTCAGCAACGTAATAGTACACTTGACTTAACAAACAGACTGGATGACTGACATTGTAGTGTTTATATTTGGCATACACGTCTGTGAAGCATGCTGGGAAATGAGGAACATTTTGCAAAGGATATCTAATTCGGATTATTTCGAATGTTGCATTTTCATATTCTCATTTTCACTGAAAAACATATGAAAATGATTACGGAGTGACTTTTGTGGGTTTTCTGTACCAAACAATGATGTTTTCTTAAATCTGTGGAATATGATATGTAGGCCACTACATCTCTGTAGCGTGACAATATTTAATTTGTAGCCATATTGCGATTTTGGTGAAATGTTGCTTAATTGTGCTGGGTTTATACATCTGTGTTCCTTACTGCGTGGTCTCCGTGGTACATCAACTTAACTGTTTTTAAACAATAAGACACGCAAGTGCATGAGGATGAGAGAGTGCATTTATGTGTTTACCGTGGGATCTCCGTGGTAGATGACTTGCCCCATGAAATCAGTGTAAAACACAGCTTCAGCTATAATGGAGAACCATGTGAGGAGGTGACACACACACAATCTCCACAGCTGCCTTGGCATCTACCGAGGACAGAAAGGACACAAGGAATCAAGACTAGCAAGTGAGCATGAAAAATAAATTAGTTTAGTTTATTATGTCTGCGACAACAGACCTTTAAATGTTGTAAATAGTAAAATAAGAGAAAAAAATACATCAATATCAAAGACATTTGCAATTTACCTTCAACATGGACAACCAGAGCAGTCGAACAGTTGTACCCTCGCCTGGTCCGCCCTCACTGCTGGAGCCCTCAGATGACAGACTGCTAGCTGAAAGCTGCAGCTCTCGCCTGCCTGGACGCCGCTGGAGTTCACTGAGGTCATTCAGACTTTGGGAGGTGGTGATTGGCCGAGGGCTCCATGGTGCTATTTTTCGCAGTCGATAGCGCTGCGATCCCACTCTTCCGTAGTAGGAGAAAGTGAAGGAGGGCTAAAAGAGGGGGAACAAAAGAGACCAACATCAACTTTTTCACATTTGCAAAATGACTATTACAAAAAGTAATTTAAAACATGGAACATCCAATCGCACCTGTCTGTAGAAGGTGTGTGGGTGTGGTCGTGGGGAAACTGAGGTGTTGGAGGGGCGGCTTGTGGAGGTGTGGCCTTTCATCGCGTTGCAGTGGTCAGAAGGTGACAAGGCAGCATCGACACCATTGGAAGCCTTGACCTGCTGGGACATGAGAGAGGCACAGACGTACATATTAAAGGCACAAAGGGAAACTCAAACACATGGGACAAAATATCTGAAACACAGTAAAGCCTATTGAAGAATAAATATCGAAATACTTGTAACACTGCCTTGATAACATTTGTTTCTGTTTTGGCAAGGTAATTTAACACCAATAACACTTGCCATCATAACAGAGGATTTCACCCGATACGAGTCCTGTGGACCCTTACGCTCAGGCCAGTCTGGATTTGTAGGCTCTAAAACCACCATCTCATCAGAATGGGCCGGTGGTCCAGAAGGAGACGAGGACCCAATACTGTGGTTTGATGGCTTGAAAACATCGTCTAGCTCTGCCTGTGTCCCCGGTAGAAAGTGGTGCAACTGCGGCAGGAAAAGTTGTGACTCTGGGTCGAGGTCAGAATCCAACTCGATTGTAGCATCTGGCATGGCTAAGACTGAATCGCTTTTACACCGCACGCGCTCCACGGCAAGGAAGTCCATGTCTCCTTCCTCCGAATCCGATTCGTTGTCCTCTCTGCACGGGGCTCGAGCTGAAGCATCCTCCTCTGCAATCACGTCGAGTAAAGGTGGCGTGTGGCCAACGGGCCTGAAAGACAACTGGCTGGTAGACCCCCCGCTCGCCACATCTTTAAGCTGGTTGGAAGGTGCGAAATGTCGCTCGGGGATACTGAGCATGTGCAGTGTGACTGAGATGATGAAGATGATGCCCGCGAACAAGAAGAGGACCTGCTCCTGTGATTTAAACGCTTGGCCCAGAGCTGTGCCACTCCAGTCGAGGCTGCCCAGCATGTAGCCCACTGCTCCGCCGAGCCCTGGGGAGACAGGTATAAACAGACGCACAAGTCAGAGGTCTGTGAAATAATTTGTACAATGTCTATGTGGACTGTGTGTGTGTGTGTGTGTGTGTGTGTGTGTCCATACATCCGTGTAGTCTTACCAGCAGAGAAGGCGTGAATATTCAAGGCCATGTCTTGCTCGTCGGTGTCAGCAACATCGAGAAGGTAAGCTCTGATTGGTCCCTCAGAGGCATCAGCACTGAAGTCCAGCACCACCACACCTAGCATAGTAAGGACGATGCCAATTGGCTGGCTGCCGGGACTATCACCAACGGAAAGGCCTAACGGAACACCACACAATATATACAGATGGGGTTTAAACAGTAGCAGTACAGTGTTGATCTCCTTTGGAACCTTCTACTCACCTATCAATGATCCATTTAAGAACAGCGCCACTCCCAGCAGCACACCCACACACAGGGCCAGAATGAATGGTCTTCTCCGGCCCCATCGCAGAGTGCATCGGTCGCTGGCTGAGCCGATCACGGGTGTGAGCATGAGACCCAGGATAGGACTGAGGAACCAGGTTAAACTGTAATATTGCTCAGGAAGACCTAGAAAGGACACACAAACAAAATGATTCAAGACATAGAAAACAGGCAAAGTCTCCTATTGTTGGACGAGGTGACACGAGAGTTTTGGGAAACACTTAATAGGAAACCTTGCTTTTCCTCACATGTGCCTCTGTCTTATTACATTTGACCAAATGGTTAAAAAATAAGCTAAATTATTACAGCAACACACTGTATTTAGCTAAATGGTCTGTGGTTTCACAACGTCATTCCCTTGAACTCTTGCCAGTATTTCTTCAACAATGAATGACAGCTCAATGAAATAAAAGACGTCGGACAGGAATGTAAATAGGAAAACATGTCATATGCAGAAAAAGTGAACACTTAATTAATAGTGTTTTTGTTCAGGCAGCATTCAGCACAAAACATGCTTTTCTGCATCTAATATAGTATAGTTTGCCTTTTGTGTTCATCTATCTGATAAGGCCAGATCTATGGTATTTTACACAGATTTTTAATATGCTATAGTGTATGATGTTGAGATCTGTAAAACGTTTTAATTTGATTTACTTGTGTTATTTTAAATCCTGTCTTCAACTCTGACTACCTAACTACTGACTGAAGAACTGATACATAGCGAGCCCCAATGTACTTTATAATGAATTACTCATTCACGAGGCTCTGTTTTGTCCTGCCAACTTGGTACAAAATGCCTCAATAAGGTTGAGGTCTACTCTCAGGTTTTCTCCACAAAAAAAGGCGAAGGTTTCCCTACGTTCCATTGTTTATAGAAGCACAGCACATGAGAGCTCTGCATGCATAGCTGAAGAACCACTAGTGCTCTCAAGCAGCTTCCTTTTTAGGGTGGCAGGACCAGTGCAGACAATGTTAGCCTGTTACAACAACACCGACAGAAATATGCATCACCTCCCGTTGACCGTCATGAGACAGAACTCAATCCTATACCGTAGCTATTACAGGATCAATGTGGTTTGATATTGTTTTTTACTGACGTATGACCCAAATATCTGTGACACTTGAGAGGCAATGCTGTCAGTCCTCAGTTATAATAAAAAACAACTGTCTCTGCTCGATGACAAAATCCTGATTTTCCACCCCTTATAAAGAGCGGGCTGTGTGAGCTGACTGGTTCTCACAGGAACAACATGTTACCCATGCTGCCTCGCTCTGCTCCTGTCTGTCCTCTCCCTTAAGTCAACAAAACAGCAGATGACTTATTGCAGTTGGAAAAATCTCTCTCTCTTTCTCTCTCTCTCTTGTAAATGGGACTACAACAAGACTTGACTTGTACCCTGTGTACTTTTTGACCTCTAGTAGCACTAAGAAGCAGTTGTTGTTGTTTTTTAAATAAGTGGGTCTGTTTGTCTCATACATGCGCGAATGTGAATGCACAAGGAGTAAGTACATGCTCAGCCAAGTGTTGTGACACGCACAGTGGTTATTATTCTACGGATCGACTGATGGAGGTTATAAGCTAGTATGCAGCAATGCTCCAGCAAAGGCAGGGAAGAAGAAGACTGCTAGAAGGTTAACATTGATGCAAAC